CCAAGACTGCTCAGACTTTTTAATATAAAGCTATTAGTTTATAGAGATGCAGCTATAAGTCAAACGTCTCCTATCCTGGGCTATTTGCCCTGAAGACAGACTGATTTTTCCATTGCCAGTTTTAGAACAAAAACCAGAAACAGGTAGTGGAAGGGAAGAAAACAATCAGAAACGAACAGTTTGGATCCAGAACGTGGTATAATACGAAAAATTCTAGGACGACCTATTTATGTTTCATCCCTAAGCTGTAGAAGCAGAGAAAGCACTGAGATGCGGGAAGGGTGAAGGTAATTCAAGAACGTTACAGAACAAAATTTTCATAAATTCCTGAAAAAATGACTTACAAATGGGCACTTGTGATTGTGACGATTTTTTTCATAGACAATTATATGCAGCGTGTGAATAATGATCAGAACTGCAATCTCCTGGGTGCATTCGTATTTACTCCAGTGCAAATGACACCGACCCAGGAACTCCATAAATTTGTGACTTTGTTGATAAGCATAGAAAATCCAACCGCCCCAATGATATTCCTCTGCTTTCAGCCAACCTATGCATTCCACAGGAGTATGAAAGATCATATTCCTCACGTAGTTCCTGAAAATACACTTAAAAATTCAAACCGATGAATCACGGAAAATTAGTCAAGCTAAATGCTGAATTTTTACGATTGCGTTTACAGCATTTTTTTTGATTCTAGAGCGAGAAAAGCAAAAATCTCGAGGCAATTCAGATGTCTGGCAATGTACCTGACAAAAATAAAAAATTCATAATAGTTTTCTAGAAAATGAACTTCACGGAACCCCACTTATTCAGAAAAATTTGGTCGAACTCCATCACCATGCCCGAGTTTTCAAAGTTTGGACCACATTCAACACGATCAGCTGGGCCCCAGTTGATTTCACATGCTTTGATCGATACTTTCCGGCGATTTTCTCGAGAAATAGCTCTTGGATCTGCAAAATTTTCTGCATTCATTTTGATTCCTGTATTCTTCAAAAAATGATTGTGCTTTTTGGCACCGATTTCAAACAAATCTAAGTTTTTGCCTTCAAACGTAAAATTCTATGCTACACAAGTATACGAATGTCCTGTCTGATGAATGAAGAACTGAACCTCGCTTTATGGTCTTCCCTTGCTCACGAACAGCGTCCTCAGCTTCTGGCTGATTGTTGGCACTTAAAAAAGAGGCAATCGGCAGAATTTTTTCCGGCTGACCCGGAGGTGCATCCGCCGTTTTTGGATGTGTCGATGACTCGGCTTCTGAAGCCCGGTTTTTTGCATCGTCTGCTGCACTCATGTTAGAAGCAGCGTTTGCTTCTTGAACAGACTTCTTTCTTCTACCACTTCGATCACGCAGTTTCTAAAAAGTGCAAGCGGCATCGCTAATATCCTTTCTTTTACCGCTCAAATTTTCGACTAAATCTGAGATATACGAGACCTGAAATAATTCTGAGATTTACGAAATTTGAGAAAAATAAGTCTGAGATATATTCAACATAACTCCGAGATGTAGGATGTGGCTTTCGATTTGTACTTCAAAAGTATATGGAGCTTTCCCTTAGTGTCACCTCATTCTTTTCAATTCTTTCATCTTAGTCTCATTCCCATTTTACTCTTACTCTTGTTTTGCAAACTTACCATATGTACAATCAACAC